AAGAAGAAGGGTTCGGCGCTGAAAAGGCGCGCCAAGAAACTGACGTCCTGCATCTCCGTGCGCAAACTGAGCCACTGCCGAACTTCGTAGGCGAATTAGATGCCTCCACTAAACATAGATGCTAAGATTTATCGAAAGGAATAACTTTGTTAACAAATTGTGAGGAACTTTTTGGTTTTGTTTTCCCGTTTTTTTTTTGTTGTCCTACATTCGCCAAGTATTTGTGTAACCATAGAATCATGTAGGAAATTCGGGAGCAACCTGGTACCGCCCGAGCACCACCAGCAGCAGCAGCAGCGGCATTATCAGCGGACACTGATGCGAGCTGGGGAGTAGTTGGTGGGGAGCGATGGGGCGACACGAAAGCTATATATCCATGTGACAATACTGTGTATTATATGAAACAAATGAAAGCGTAAATTAGTCGTTAATATATGATGTACTGAAGGCAGCCGAGGATTGCCGGAGGAGACGGTGCCCATTGGTTCGCACACATAAAGAAACATGTTCAAGTGAAATTGTTGTTGGCTTCGTTATATTCTAAACTACACACAAATGATGCGACGATTTTCAGGCGCCGTCGGTACAATAACTGCTGGACAGTATTTGCAAGGCCTAGGTTGAGATTTTAATTTTTACAAACCAATGAAACGAAAATAAAAGAACCCATTGAATATCAAAATACAAACACTGCATTTAGTTCGCACATTCCACACTCAACACAGACTCTCTCATACTCTCCATTCCATTCCATGCACACGCTCATGCTCACACTACAACATTAGGCTAGCTAACTACGGTTGCTTAATCTAGTTCCACGATCTGCAGCCGGGCGGTCGGATCTGGCTCTGAGTTAACCTCCATCAGCTCGCCCATGATGAACATTTGATGGTAGTGGGGACCCAGGGTGGACAGCTTCCGCTGCATCAGGTGGCGCAATGTGTCCACGTACTGCGGCGGCACCTTGGCCTGCTGCGTGTTCGTGTTGCGCCAGTGCAGCCCGTTGTTGTCCACGTGAAACAGCGCCGGTGAGGGCACGTGATCTTTAAGGTAGTTCCAGATGCACTCGCGCAACAGCAGGGCGATCTGAAAATGGTAAACACGTTGGTTGGTTGGTCCACAGTTGGAGTTTAAGAAAATGAAAGACCTACCTCTGCCGATTCAAACTGCTCGATGATGAGATGCAGATTAGTGAGTGGAGGCGGAATCAGTTGGCTCATAGCCAGCAGTTGCAGCATCTTCTTGGTGCAGAGCATTAGCTCATCGTTCGCAGCAGTGGGCTGGAATCGATTGACTGAAAAAGGGAACACGATTAAGCCAAACTATTGAAATGTGCGAGTAAAGTAACAAGCTCACCATTCTTTCCCCGCCAGTGATGCAAACAGGTGGCGCATAGTGCGCGCAGAAGTACGGAGGAATAGCAAAGGGCCGGCCTATGACCGGCGATCAGTCCTAAAACCGCCCAGAGCACTGGGGACGTGATAAACGCCCTCCTGATCTGCATGTCCCGCTCCATTGTCACCCGGGTGAATTCTTCGTCCGGAAAGGGCAGGCCGTTGTACATGACATCCGTGGACACCAGCTCGACCAGCAGCAGCGAGACCAGCGAGTAGCCCTCCACGTTATTGGGCTTCTCCAGATCGGCGCAGCAGGCATTCAATGCCTTTAGATACAGCGCCTGCTTCTCCGCATCGCAGTTCCTCTCGTTGGTAGGCAATACAGGTCGCAGACCTCTGCCTATAATACCGGAATGCAGCACGGAGCGGTTCGAGTTGGCGCCGGAGCTAGTGTGCAGGTTCTGCAAAATGAGGTGTTCGTGCTCAGGTATCTGAAGCTCATCTAGCTCATACTCCTCCAGCTGACCAAGCAAGTGACCATGATAGAAGAGGGCGCCCTCAACCAGTTCGCGCAGGCAAACGGTTCTCGCAATTTTACGGGCGGAACACTGCCTCTGCAACAGGGTGTAGGAGCGATGCGAAGCCGCCGCTCGACGGATCACAGCTAGAATGAAATATGGTCAATATACAGGTAGAGTTTGAGAGCAATGGTTACGTACTCTTTTCGGTTAAGCCCACAAAGAAGTACTTTACGCTTAGCGTGGCCAGCTTGAGGACTAACGGAGTGCGCAGCACGGTGGTTCGACTGCCGGCATCAATGTTGTTCAACAGATCCACAATGAGGTGAGCCAAGCGCATGCGCGTAGCGTCCTCATCGTCCGCCTTATCTTCGCCTGGCTCCAGTTTCGTACGCTTTCCGTAATCCTTACCATTGCACAATTCATCGTCGTTGTTATTATTGCTACTTTGTTGCGCTCTGAATTTGTCAGCACTCCGCTCGGCGGCATCCCTGTCCATCTTCAGGACCAATTTGTTGACGGTGCAGTCAAAGATTTGAATGATTTTGGGAAGACATTCATTGAGGGCTTGATTTAAATGCTGTGCCTTAATGTAGGGAGCCACATTCTTGCTCTTGTGCATTCTGGTGGAGATATATGAAGTAGAAATGCTGAGGGTCATCATAATACCTAATAATAGTAATTTTTACCTGGCAAGTATGTTTAGGTTGGAGAACGTATTAAAGGCTTCTGTGGTTGTGCCCGGCGGAACTGGCAATCGATTGTTGACCTGAACATCCAACGTTATGTCCTCCAAAACCATCTTGAAACCTGCTGTGAATCCCGGAAAGTTTACCATGCCGCTTTGCCCGCCAAGTAATCGAATTAGTGCGCCAATTCCATTGGGATTCTGAGCATACGACTTCTTTAGAAGTTGGGATATGGTCTGGTAGTAAATATTTGGGTGCTGGGACGCTAGAAAAATAGTTAATACGAGTTTTAATATCACTGTATGACTTCCTTTTCAATTGAAGAATGTTCTACTCACAGACCACCAGCAGTAATCTCACCGCTGTTTGCTGCTCGAAGAGATTGGTGCTAAGGCAGCTCTTCCACAGCATGTACTTTGTTTCCTCGTAGGCCAGATCGGCCAGCAGTGGGAAGTTCCGCTGATTGAGCACCCACTGTTCCAGCTCCTGCATCGAGTTGTCCAGGAAATCCTGGCACCAAACATACTTCTCGGCCATCTTGGCTGCCGTGAGCAGCAGCGTCGCTCCATGCTCGTTTAGGCGGAGCACGGCATTATTCAGCGTGGGCTGCATGCCGGCAAACATCTTGTTGCTTAGCCACAGCGGCGACTTCTGCACAATCACCTCGCACATGTCCTCGGTATCTACAGGAATGAATTTTTATCATTCTGTTAGAGAAATAAAACTTCCCTTTATCTAACTGGTACTTACAGACTTCGACCAGCACATTAACCAAGCTCTGCAAGATCGTGTCGGAGTAGTTGGTGGTGATCAGTAGGAAAGGAACGACGGCCACGTCCAGCGGCTTTTTCGGTGCGAATCCCTCCTTAAGCATCTCACGGAAGGCGGCCCTCAGGTGCTGTTCGTGGCACGAGGTCATGTAATCGAGGATGCCCGCCTCCGAGTCCAGGTGGCAGCGGTAGTCATCGACAAATCGCTTGATGCCGCACTGAAGGATCTGCATGATGATCTTGTAAGGGAAGCAGCCGCCCAATCTGGCCACAATCCAGTCGAAGGTCATGGGAAAGCGGTGAAATGCATTGAGCATGATCTTCACGCAGGCCTCCTCCTCCGGTTGTGTTAACTTCCGGAAGCAACTGTTTATGAGGGTCATCAGCCCATGCATGGCGCTGCACTCCAGCCAATAGTTGCAGCTAGCCGTTATGGTCATCCGCCGCTGGGTGTACTTATCGGATAGCTTGGCCACCAGTTCCAGACTCCAGTTGGCGATGAGCGGCGACCAGGCGGGCGGTCCCTTCCACACGAGATTCTGCAGCGCCGTCTTGACCAGATTAAAGGCCTCGTATTCCGAAGCACGTTGCTGCTGCTGGCGATTCCCGGCCTGCTTCACCTGGGACACCGGCATCCCGGTCTTTGGGTCTGCCATCTCCGGCGACACATACAGCTGCACACTGATCTCGGCCAGCAGGGCAAAGTACTCAAACACAATGTCCCGCGTGGCGGGCAGCTCCTCCAGGAACCCCAGCCTGCGAAGACCAATGGATTTGTTTACTACGGGGATTTACTTAACTGCGGCTGCTACTCACGCGAGCTTGATGAGATTGGGGCTGGTCAGCGGCTGGGGACAACTGTGGCCATTGCTCACCGTCTCTATGAAGTGCTTAAGCTGATCCAACAGGTTCTGGGGCAGCATTTTGTCGTCCTAGGCATCGGGAACGCAGAACCAAAGTTGACCAAGTGAGCAAATGCATCGCAGCAATGGGTCGCCGCGTCTTCCACTCGGAATACCACAGCGACGAGGGACAACGGCGCCCATTTGGAGTCCATCGCCACCTGGTCACACTGCAACGGCAGGAATTTTGAATTCCTCTAAACTCTGAAGCGAATAAAATAAACTCCTAATAAATATCGAAGAACTCTAACTTGTGCAGTAAATACAGTACTTTCATTTTATAAATTAGCACTTGGAAGTAGTTAATAGTGACACTTTATCTATACGTTAAGTTGAGCTGAAAAGGGCTTCGAGTCGGAGTTATGTGCTTACTACAAGTTTGACTTTTGAATCGAGTGCGTCATTTTCTGGTATCAAAATTATTGATAAAAATTAAGTTTACATGCAGGTATATTTTCATATTGAATCATTTGAAACATGTTTTTGTATTAATATATTATCGTAAGTATCAGTGAGGATTGTCGTTAAGAAACGGTCACACAAATGACAATTCGCGAATTATTGCACACTCTTTTGCGGCGAATCAAGGGCGAAAGACAATATGGCGTCGCTGCGGCGAATCTGTCTCCCGCTTGTCGCTCTGTTTGCTTTTTCCTGCTCTGTTTTGTACAAATATTCATTCACGGTGCTCTTGTTTTCTCAAATATGTATAAATAGAGTACCATAACAATGGTAGCGCCACAGGGGTGCTAGAGATCGTTATCGATAACAACTCATATTTTCGTCATATGCAACTATCGCTGTACTGTAATGCCAAGTATCGATACTCAGATATTATCGTCGTGGTCAGACCAACGCTCTAGCGTCGGTCCGCGGAAAATAGCAAAAATCACAATTATCCGGGAAGATATATTGGTCGAAAACTAACTCGTGGTCCCCTAATAAATATGCGCAAGCGAAAATTGTACATAAACTGATCGAATGCAGCCAGCGTGCGAAGCACTAATAGCGAAAAACGCCAGAAACAGAAACAAGGAATTGCAGCGTGAGTGTATAACTTTTTGGTTTTTGCCCCCGCGCGCTCTCTCTCCCTCTTTCTCTCTCTCACTCTCCTTGCTGCTCTCTCCCGCTCTCTTTGCCCGCTTGCGGCTTCTGTGTTGTCTGCGTGCGAGTGTGTGTGTTTGAATTTTACTGTGAATGTGACCGACGGTGTGTTCTCACGTACTCCGTGGATGATTTGCGGCCTTGCCAGGGAATCGAACTATATATCCCGGCAATAGCCCATATTGGATCCCGATTTTGAATACTACTCTGCTGTTTTGTCACCTTAGAGTCCCCCTTTATCGCACTTTATGCAACAACGCATACCGTCGTGTTGAATTTCCTCGCTCTCTGTGTGTAGTTTGTTGGTGTGCGTGTGTTCGAGGTGAGTTTGCCGTCGTCTGTTTTTCTTTTCCCTGCGTTTTGTGTGCGTTTCAATGAAAAGCAAAATCGTCAGCGAATATCGCGGAAATGCGGTGCTCCTAAATAATATGTATACATAACTAAAGTATCAAATCAAAACAAAATCTGTTTGCATCAACAACATAAACATTGCAGTGTGGGTGTGCGCGTGTAGCGAGCTAAATTGCGTGAGTGTGTGTGCCTGTGTGTGGTGGGGAGACGGCATTTTTCTTTACCACACGCCTCTTCTTCTTTCCCATAATACACTGCAATTTTTGCGATTCTGTTTTGCGCCTACCATTCGCAATAATTTTATTGAATGAACCGCAAAAGAGACGGCCCAAAAAGCGATGTACTTGCCAGACGATGTGTCTGTGTGCGTTCGACGGTCTGTAGCGTTGTGTGTATCGCGTATGAAAATACATGTTGGGCATAAAAAAAAATCAAAAATTAATTATAAAAAAGAAACGAAATTAGCTGACATTGCAATCGCACCGGAGAGTGTTTACTTGTCAAATTTTCGAGTTCTCCGCCCGTCCCTTTTCTTTCCTCCCTCTTTCTGCGCCAATACCACCCCAAAAAATTGCATACATGCACACACGCCTTCGGTTGTGCGAATGTTTTAGTGTGTGAGCGCGCGCGTATTCTGCACACATTGTCATGCATGCAAAAAGAAGATACGACGCGTTCGCAATCGTTTGATTCCTTCTCCCCAAATTTCTTGCTTTTCATTGCTGGGGAAGAAAGTAAGAAGATATCGAAAGGCATATGCGAACCGCTTTCTTATGGAGTCCTGCATCCTTAGCTTATCCCTTCCCACCTTTTCGCCTGCTCCTTTTTCTCACGGACACTTGCAGCTTTCGCGCCCATGGGTGTGTGTGTGTGCGAAGAACAGGAAGAGAATAGCGAGACTCCAATTATCCATTTACAGTTGTGGTTGAAGTGATGGAGCATAGCTGTATTATTTGTAGTAACACAAAAAGTATTACCGTTGATATTTAAAGCTGGTAGTAAATTGATAAACTTGTAGGTCTTGAAAATGTGCATACCTACATATATTATTCACTAAAACTTTATTTGATGTTTAAATATACATATGTAATGTCAAAGTATTTCAAGTTCTCCACTCAGATGTTCATAGTACACACATATATACTTAAAACTTGTTGAAAGGCACAGTTTGTATCTTAGTTTGTATGTTTAGTCTCCTATAACCTCAACTTAATTCTATTATGAAATTAATTTCGCCATGTCAAGATCTAATCTGACGAATCCTAACAAAATAAAAGAGTTCTTGGGATTCATAATACGATTTGCACACGGGTAATTAAATAGGTAATAGTAGCGAAATAGAGTCAAAAAGGCCACCGACTTGTTCTCTTACTAACTTCCCTATAAAAACTAATTGTTGCTGGGGCGAAAAATACTGCCAAGTTGTCATATTTGCCGGACTTTATTGATGACTCGGCTCCAGAGCTCTAAATTTCGCACACAGATTTTCTCTTGGTACTATGGCAACCTTCTGCTGCTGCTGGTTATTAATAAAAATTAATAATAACCGAAATCTGTGGCGCTGTGCGGCACTTGGACATATTTATGTACATATGAGCATTCTCGAGTTTTTCGCAGCTGATTGCGTAAACCAAACCGCTCACGACGTTTGTTTTGAATTGATACTTTTGTTTTGGTACCGATTTCAAATCTAAATACGATTCCCGCTCTGGTTTAATTCTCCTCCGGGCGTTATCAGTGCGGAATTGGCCTATGGCGCTTTATTGGAACTGACATGGGACTGGGAACTTAATCACTGTGCAAATCGCTTTGAAACGGCGCAGCACGCATTTTCCCCGACGTCTCACAACCTTGGGCGGGTGGAATGCTCGGCGGGGGGTTGTGGGGCTGATCTAGAGTGACGTAAATGTTTGCGGTGGACAGCCAACTTTGAGGTGGCGCTCTTCAACGATGACGTAGCTTTTGCCTCTTCTGTTTACTCGCACATTTTTTTTCAAATACATACCCAAGATTTTCGCCGTGCAGAGCGAGAAAAAATGAACTGACTATCTGTGTATAAAATAAAAATATAGGAAGTAACATGAGAAGCATTTAGCTAGCTTTCATTTGATTTTTGTGTATTTAGTCATTTTATTTTCCCGTGTATCAGAATGGATAGATTACTATCCCCTCCCTCGTTTTGAGACACCCGCTCTCGCGCCCTCGCCGCTGTTTGTTTTCTTCGCGCGCGTGTTTGCTCTCGCCGTGGGGCGAAAGCGCAGCGATAATAGTGGCTCAGATATGGTGTATACTACACGTATAGTAGCCCCACTCATACCGAAAACCCCATCGCACGGATACAGATACAGATACACGCGCACACTGCGAAAGGCCTAGATCTAATAGAAAACGCTTAATGTTTGTAAACAGACCGGGCACAAGCACATTTCTTTTATTTTCTTTATTTTTTTTTTTGCATTTCGCATTTTAGTTGACATGGTCTTCTCTCGGCTTCTCTCTCTACACATCATTCTCCCGAAAATACACACACAAACAGCGAACGTAGCTTTCACATTTTCATTCATCGCAATCTTCGCCATGAAATGTTGCAAAGACCCTAAGATAAGATATAAGATGCACTTGAATACCTTAACCTCAACTTTTTGCGGCAGTAGGACACGAAAATTCAAATTTTTTGTATGACTGTGTTTGGCTAACAATTTCATAAGGTGCTGAAAAAAATTTCCCTGCTGTGTTTGATGCAAAATAAAATTGCTAAATTAGTGGTAGTGAACTATTGCACCAATAAATAGTTAAAGGGACTTCACAGACTTCAAATTATAAGAAATATTTATATATTGTTGATAAAATTGAAGTACCTGATATAAACGTGCAGTTGAAATATAATTAATTTTTTAGATTACTAGCAATATGCGCGTTTACTGTCATTAGAATAAGGATTATTAAGAAACAAAGTGATAATTCCGAAGAAGTTGTGTTTTTAAATCTTTTATACTTTTTGGACGTTTTTTAACATTGTATTATTCCCCTAACTTGCAGTGCAGTCTCGTCGTGCGCCCATTCCAATCCCATTAGACCCCACCCGGCGTTGGAGTGGCAGCCTAACATGGATATAGAAGTCAAGCATAGAGATTAGCCGAATCCTTTGAATTTTAAATTCAAGATCCTAATTTAAATTAGCCAAGTAGCATAGCCTAGCCAATAGCCCCTAACCAGAGGAACGGTTCCAAGCCGCAAGCACTCGCGTTCATAGTCCCGAAATTCAACCGAATCCCAAGGGCACTAGCAAGAAAATCCGCAGAAGCACAACAAGAAGCAACATCATCATGACGACCGACACCCGCCGACGCGTTAAGTTGTACGCGCTGAATGCGGAACGCCAATGGGATGATCGTGGCACTGGCCACGTGTCATCCACCTATGTGGAAAGACTTAAAGGTGGGTTGACGCAGTTAAAGAAGTCTTGTGAAGTGGTCTAAGTTTCGTATTGCTAAACAACTTACAGGGATCTCGCTTTTGGTGCGTGCCGAATCCGATGGATCTCTGCTTTTGGAGAGCAAGATACAACCGGACACCGCTTACCAGAAGCAACAGGATACCCTGATCGTGTGGTCCGAGGGCGATAACTTTGATCTGGCCCTGAGTTTCCAGGAAAAGGCGGGCTGCGACGAAATATGGGAAAAGATATGTCAGGTAAGCGTCGTTAAATAAGCAGATGCAGTTATAATGTGCTTATCTATAGATTAATGGACTTAAACAAACAATTCCTGTATACTATATAGTCACAGTTTCACGTCACTTGTTAACTAACAATTTTTCAGGTGCAAGGCAAGGATCCTTCTGTAGAAATTACTCAAGACATCGTCGAAGAGTCTGAGGATGAGAGGTTTGAGGACATGTCGGACACTGCGCCACCCATTGAGCTGCCACCCTGCGAGCTTTCCCGGCTGGAGGACATTTCGGAGACGATACAAAGCTGTCTCTCCACGCCACTGCGCAAGGAGAAGTTATCGATGGCCCTGGAGTCGGAGAGCTATATCAAAAAGCTGCTGAACTTGTTCCACGTGTGCGAGGACCTGGACAACACCGAGGGCCTGCATCACCTCTTTGAGATCTTCAAGAACATTTTCTTGCTAAATAAGAACGCGCTCTTTGAGATTATGTTTGCGGATGATACCATCTTTGATGTGGTCGGATGCCTGGAGTACGATCCGAGTGTGTCTCAGCCCAAGAAGCATCGCCAGTATCTGAAGCAGTTAGCCAAGTTTCGGGAGGCAGTGCCGATTAAGAACCTGGACCTGCTGGCTAAGATCCACCAGACGTTTCGGGTGCAGTACATCCAGGACATCATCCTGCCCACACCGTCGGTCTTTGTCGAAGACAACATGCTGAACACTCTGTCCAGCTTCATCTTCTTTAACAAAGTGGAGATTGTCACGATGATCCAGGACGACGAGCGGTATCTATTGGATGTGTTTGCGGTTCTCACAGATCCCACCACCGGAGACGCGAAACGCCGCGACACAGTCCTCTTTCTGAAGGAGTTCTGCAACTATGCCCAGAACCTGCAGCCGCAGAGCAAGGACTCGTTCTACAAAACTCTCACCTGCCTAGGCATCCTGCAGGCGCTGGAACTCACTCTCGTGATGAACGACAAGAAGACCAAATCGGCCTCTATCGACATCCTCACGGCCATCGTAGAGTTCTCGCCGCTGGTAGTGCGCAATTACACGCTCAACCAGGCCAATCGGCCAGAAGTGGTAAGTTAACCTAGAACATTAGGATATTCTAGATATATGTATGATTTACCTGATTCTTCTCTGTACCTTTGCGTGCACATTAGGAGCGTATGCTACTAAACATTGCCATCGAACAAATGCTGAACGACTCGGAGCCGGAGCTTGGCATTGCAGTGCAGTTAATGGGTATCGTCAAGATTCTGTTGGAGCCGGAGAATATGCTCACCGAGAAGGGCGATTTTCTCAACTTCTTTTACAAATACAGTGTCCAAACGTTAGTGGGTAAGTGCGAGTCCTTTACCAGCACACTTCCAGGGACTAACTGCATGATGCTTATAGCCCCGCTGATGCTTAACACGATGGGCGATCGTCCACAAAACGAGGACTATCAGACGGCCCAGCTGCTGGGAATCGTCCTGGACATTCTCTCGTTCTGCGTGGAACACCATAGTTATCACATCAAAAACTTTTTATTGCAAAAGGATCTCCTCAAGCGAATTCTGGTGCTAATGAAGAGCACACATACGTTCCTTGTCCTCGGCGCTCTGCGATTACTGCGCAAGATAATTGCCCTTAAAGATGAGTTTTACAATAGGTAAGAGTCCCAAACTCTTATGGTTTATCAATACGTCATCGATGAATCCTTATTTACAGACACATTGTCAAGTGCAATCTGTTTGCGCCGGTGGTAGATGCCTTCATTCGCAACAACGGTCGCTACAACCTGCTGGAGTCAGCCATTCTGGAGCTGTTTGAGTTTATAAAACTCGAGGATATCCGCACTCTGTGCGTTTACTTCGTGGAGAACTTCAGCAAGATATTTGATGAAATCGAATACGTGCAGACATTTAAGTACTTGAAGAATCGCTACGATCAGTACCAGGATCGGCTTAAGGATCGCGACAAGATGGAAAACCGAACCGACGGGTAAGTTTTGCTGCAGCGCCTTGTGCTACAACACAATGTGAAAATATTTGGCTGTATTATCTTAAAGTGGCCTGCCCATCATCCGTAGCGGTGGCCGGTTTCGTCGGGATCAGCGGCAAATGGAGGAGGAAGAGGAAATGTGGTTCAACGAGGAGGACGATTTCACTGAGGAAATCGACACATACAACAATGTCATGAAATGTAAGTACTAAAATAATATCGTTTTAGAATTACCGAATGAAATTATATCTTGCGAATATTTATTTCTGAATTTCGCTTTTATTCAAAAATTGTACATTATCTGTTATACCATAGTATTATTGTAAATCTATTCCATTCTCGACTTGCAGCCGTCAGCGAAAAGAATGGCCCGCAAACGCAAAGCCAGCAAAAATCCTCTCCGCCACACAGCACGTCACCGCACAGTGGATTGTTGGGGAGCTTGAGCACCACCGCGTCATCTACTGCCACATCCGCCGCGTCAGGTGCACCGGTGGCCAGCGGCAGCAGTAGCCCCGAGGCGATCTCTGCCGACGAGCAGACGCAGGCGGCTGTGCATTTGGCTGCCGCTGCCAATATTGCGCTTCAGCACCACCAGCAGCAGCAACAACAACAGCAGCAGCAGAACCCATTCCAGCAACAGACACAGCCCGAGATCGCGGAGCTACAACAACAGCTGAGCAGCGTGGAAACGTCTCAGAGCCAGGAGTTGGAGCTGTCACAATCGACCGCCGCCAGTGCATCGCCCACTTCGTCATCCTCCTCTCTGGAGGCCTCGACGTCATCATCATCGGCGTCATCGTCTTCATCCTCGTCGTCCTCGTCCTCGCCGCCCGGCTCATCGGCCGCAGCATCACTTTGCGATTCGGCGACAGTGGCCGCCGTGGCAGCATCAAAGTTTCTCTCAACGATCGCCACGGCCATGGTAACCTCTGTGACGACGGTGGCGGGAACAAACAGTTCGCCGAGCCTATCGCCAGCTCCGGCTGTCTCCAGTCCGGATATCGAGAACGCCGACGCCCAGTTGCCGCCCAGCGATGACGCTAGCAGCCCGGTCAGTGGAGATCAAGATGCTAACGGCACGGAAGGTGCTAGCAGCGAGGTCGACAAGGCGACGGCCAAAAAGGTAAGTTGATGGACCCTGATGGGAATTTCAAATAGTCAAGGTGTATCATATAGTACTTATTTTTTGTGAATTTTGCTTTTAGTCCTCAAGATATGAACTTTTATTTTCCCCTAATCAACGAATGTTTAAGCTGTAAATAAAATATCATTTGAAAATATGTTGCATGTCTTTCTGACTCAAGATATATTAAATAAATATACAAATCTTTTACAAACCTTTAACATCAACATGTCAACATGTATTGGCATGCATTTACATTCTATTATGTTGTTAAGGTGCAAGAATGTTATAAGAAGTATAAGTAGTACTTCATATGAATAACAAATGTGTGGATCTATTAATTATATGATATCCGTTACCATAAACAGGGTCTGGTGGACTACGAGAGTGATTCTGGCGAAGATGACTACGAGGAGGACGAGTACTCCGAGGGGCCACAAGCACAAAAGCGCGCGCGTCTGGCATAGTTGGCAGATGATGAGCACAGCGGCATCAATTATAAATTAGTACACACATAAAAAAACAGAACAAACCACGGCAAACAAGAAACAACACACAGACCCCCACACACCAACGAATGTTAGGATTGCATTGGCGGCAACGACATACAGCACAGCAGACAAGCAGATAACCGTACGATGTAAGATCGAACAAGAAAACATAAATTTTAATTTTAGCATAAAATTTATTTTAAAGGAGAAGCAAAAACACCTAAAGTAAACGAGAAATTATAAATCTTACTTTACTAAATTAAATAACTACATATAGATATATATATTCAAATATATATGCATATGAAAATACAGATAACTACAACTGATCAGCATCCACAGGCAGAGATGTAATTTAGTGCGTGTTGTTCGAAAGTTGACAAAGCATAAACGAAACAAACCAAAATAAAATGTATTTAGTAGTTAAACCACCCCCTCGATACTGAGAAAAAATCAGCAGCAATGGAGGAGGTGCGGTCAGGTGGTGTGGGACATTTGTATACAGCCAGCAAATCCATTTGCATTGTCTATCGTGATCATTGAGATCAGTTAACAGATCCTGTGAAGTTGGCTGCTGGCCCAGAATGTTTGTGCAATACTGGCGTGTCGATATTTAAATAACAATTGCAAAGGGTGTATTAGTTCTAATGCTTAGTGTTAACCATTTTTACGATCCTTACCCATGAAAACGATTCCCTGCCAATTGCACTATCAATTGCATTATCACTCGATACAGCGCTGTTTTCAACTGACAATTTGAGTAAACAATTCTTATCGCAGAACCCCTTATGAAAGTTACAATAGAAAGCAGCGCTGTAGCAGCGTTAGTAACGTAAATAGAAGTTATACATTTTAAATTTAAACTATTCCCACAGCAGTGACAGATTTGTTCCATTAGGATTGCTTGTATTTTTTGTGTGATTGCGATTGTTTTCTGAATATCAATATCAATATCAAGCCATGGCCAACTTGACAAAATTTGTTAGCCCCTTGAGTTAAAGGCAGATAACACTTGAACCCAATGAACCTTGTATATAATTTAGTCAGTCTCAATACGCGATTAGTTGATAACTGCCCTTGCACCACGGACGCCGACATTAAACACAAACATTTGAACTTGGAAATATCGAAATTTTTGCACATTATTCGTGCAGTTCGATATCCAGAGTCTTGGGATGTGTTGTCTGACTGTGTAATTACAAAACAATTGTTGCGCTATCCTTGCATTAATAAAACACACACAACACACACATCAGTAAATTATTAATGATAATGATAACAAATAGAACGTAAAGTTAAACTAAAGTGGGGCAACAAGCATCAGCAAACGGAAATAACATGAAAATAAAGTAAAGTAAAAAGTCTTCTTGAGTTCTTGAGTGTAAGTTTTTTTTTTTTCAAATTTAACTATAATATTAATTTGTATTTAACGAATGTAGTAGGGCTCACTTGGAACCAATCCACTCCACCCTCATACGCTCGCTCACACTCAAATCAATTGACATCCCACAGCTACACTGACAGAAAGTAATAAAGTTATTTGTTAATAATCGTATTTGCCATGTGCGTTGCGTACTGTACTACATTTATTTATTTTAGTGTTAAAAAAACTTGTCACTGCAAACGGTTTCCTCCGAGCAACCGATCGTTCCCCTCCCGGAGTCCACGATCTATACCTATGATTATACACCAATAAACTAGACGGGAGTTCGTATCCAAACATTTGTCCTTCCAAGTTGATGTTATTGTTTGTTTAATTGAGCAGCATTAACAAGTGAACGTGAACATGAACAAGGACAAGAACAAGAACAAGAATGAGGTTACAAGAAACAGAAACGAACACAAAACAGAAAATGATAATGAAAACGAACATGAAAACTAAGCGTAAACGTAAAGCGACAACACTATAGTTTATACATAGTATTTATATAAATCGTGTATTGTATATGATATGCTGTCTAATCCCTAATCCTAACACATACCCATTACGTCTATAATTTGAATATTTTATTTAGTTGTTTAAACATCCGTGCGTAAAATGCGATATATATAACTCTATATTATTATTATGAGTAAATTAAATAATAGTTTTTAATAGTTTTTAAACTGAAACAAATGGCAAAGCTCTCAAAGTGTTATTTTATTCTGTATACCAAACACCTGATTGTCAGGTGTTGGTGTTGGGTGGTTTTTCATTGTCATGGCAACCGATTCAAGGGCCAAACAAATACTTCCAGCGAATGTTGACTATTGAGTTTAGTCACTTCTTTCAATTGTAGCTAAAATGTCGGTGGAAGACTCCTGGGTTTTTGATTCGCTGGTCTGCTTCCTGCACGGGCCCATTTGGAATGCTCCGCTCCAGACGTTTATAGAGCAAAAGTCCTTAGGTGAGAGTGCTTTCCGAACATGTAATCGCGTGTAACCCAAGGATTTGGTGCAGTCTTCGATCCCAACCAGCAGTTGGATGAGAACAATCCGGACATACTGCAGATCCACGAGGAATACAAGAATCTCGTGGACTACATGTTGGGCAGCTTCATGGAGGAGATGCAGATATCACCGGAGCAATTTGAAATGGCTTGCCTGGAGGGTCGGCAGCAGGGTCAGGGCGAAAATCCATTTCAATTCCACCAGGTGCTTTTCCAGCAGGTAAGTGGAGTTGCACGGTCCTACGCAGTCGTGTCCCCAGAGTTGTCATCTTCCAGATATGGGCCGCCAACGACCTTAAGATATTCATACGCATGATGACGCAACGTAACGTGGAGCTTCAGCTGCAGGCCCTGGATCTCATCGAGAAAAATCAATTGGCCCAAAGTGCCGCCGAGGAGGGGGATGACCGCAGTGCGGACGCGAGCTCGGATCCAGGGTGGGTAATGGTGTCTCCACGAATGAACCCGTCTTATGCAATTGTGGGCACTTTGCCAAATTGCAGTGGTTTAGTAATTAGTAATCAATACTTCTATTTTGGTTATTATTGTATATATTCATACATGAAATGTACTACTTTAAACAGGGACACCGCCTCCGAGGTGGAACAAATGATAGCCAAGACGGTGTCTGACGAACTAGAGAGTCCAGAAGCGGCCCTAACTCCAGAGCAGGAGCCCAATATGGAGCTGGTCAACGACAAGTTCCAGCGCCTGAATCTGTTCTTCGAACAGGAGGATCGCGTCGATCCCAGTGATGTAGTCTCGCGGCAGGAGTACCTGCGCCAGCAGCGTGACAAGATTGTGCAGATAAAGAAGCAGACGCGTGCAAGGCAACTGCAAGAGACCATGTCCCGAGGTACTCCACATGCTCCGGAGGGAGCGCGTCCCAGCTCCGCGTTGGTGGCCCAACAGCTGCTCGAGAACGGCGGTCAGACTAAGGAACTTTCGATGCCGGTACCACTGGAAGCTGAAGAGAACGCTGCCCTGCAACTCAGACGCAATCTTGCCAAGCGCTTGCGCAGCGAAGTGGTTGAGCAGAAGTGAAAGGAAGGACGCACTTTTTTCTTTACCATTCCCATTTATTGCAGATGCTCAGCCAGAATTAACAACGTGTACTAGGTATTGTGGCATGCAGACTAGTTCGGTTGGTGGATGCACAGTGTTTTATGTTGTACTTGGTACTCGTACCGCCTCCTCTCGTCTATGTCCACAAACAGCCAACCTATGGATTGATTGTTTGTGGGCATGGTCGAGGGGATCTATTAATTTCCATTACGCTATTCATCAAAATAAAAATATTGCTAGTGAAGTGTTTCGCAAAAACGTTGTGAATTGCTCTTCTATGTGGGTATGCGATCCCGCAAATACGACATGATAGCGTCAGTGCCCTTCATCAGGATTTGGTGGCGGGGCTGCCGAAAAGGATTGCCCACCAGTTCCAAGTGGCTAGAGTATACCGGAAAAATAAGTTTGGGTACGATCAATTAACTTCCAGCAAGGATCTTACGTGATGTTTGTCAGGTTCCCCAAGATTGGAGGCACTGTCTCAATATCGTTATTGCGCAGATCCAATGTGCTCAAACGTGGCAAACTCTGCAGACCCGATACATTTAACATTTTTATGTGGTTCTCGCTGGCAATGAGGATCTCCAGGCCTTGCAACTCGTACACACAGTTGGGAATAAACTGAAAGCTGAAAAAAAAAACAAGAGAGAAGATTGATTGAAGGCACTTAGCTTATACTAAATATTTCATAATACCCACCGATTGTTTGCAATGTTTAGTTCACGCAGAGTATTCAAAACACCAAACTCCGTGGGCAGGTCATTCAACAGATTGTTAGACAAATTCAAGAAAGATATACGTGTAAACTGGGAGATGAACTGTGGTACATAGCCGATGACATTGTTGGATAGAACTAGCTCCGTGACCAGATCTTTCATGTGCTGCAGTCTGAAAACCAAAAAGTGCTAGATCATTGGGGCATTGCATCCATTAAAACTAATACAACTTACCCATTGGGCAAGGTGCTCAGCTGGTTGCGCGCAAAGTCCACCACATGCACTCCTTCATCCCTGGCGATCTGGAACACCTGGTCGGGCACTTCAGTGAGCTCCTCCAGATTGACAGCTAATGTACGTGTATGTCGTAGTTTGTATCTGCAATGTGGATTACAGATTCAAGTTAGTTACAAGGCTTCCATGGATGCAGTAAATCACATATGTGTAAATATTGGAACTTGGTGATACACTACACCCAACGCGGATGGACAGCGGAGCGCGAGGATGGATCCTGCTCGTAGGAGAACTGCTGTTGCTGCTGCTGTTGGTACATAAAGCAACGTGGATAGGGACACTCCATTCGCTGCTGCTGCTGTTGCACAAAAAGTGATCTCAAGCTGCCATTCTGATGCTGCTGCTGGTAGTTTTCCGGCTCATATATGTGTCCCTGGGTCTGGCGATCATATTCCTGACAGTTTCTCAGCGGCTCATACACACAAAACTGCTGCTGCATTTGCTGCTGGCATAGATATGGACAATGACATTGGAATCCGTTCTGCTGTTGCTGGTGGTGAAAGCTACAGCGGCGGAGATCAATGGGCCGTCCTTGCTGAAAGAAAAGCTCTTGATACATACCTATCCGGAAAGTTTCCGGGTATGTCACCATCGTCCGTTTGGCCAGCACGTAAACGGGTAACACTGATGCCCGGTGACGTGGAGGCCTCATCGGCGCCACCTCCTTCCTCCTTGGCCTTGGCCAAAGCTCTTTCGTGCAGAGTCTTTAGGATTCGCGATGTTCCACACTGCAGGATGTCGCGTCTGATTGTCTTAATGGGATTTCCCTCCACCTGCAGGCTAATCAGGTGGGCCAGGGAGGACAACGTGACTGGCAGCACGCTGATCGTGTTGTTGGACACATCGAGGCGGTTTAGATTACGCAGCAGGCACAGCTCGTCGGGCAGCTCTGTGATCTTATTGTCTCGCAGATCGAGTATCTTCAGGTGGGGCAAGTTACTGCACATAGCTTTTGGTATGGTCTGGAATGGAAGTTAAACATTATGACTGGGATTCGATTTCAGCAAGGATACTAAATTACCTTGATAAAATTATTGCTGGCGTGCAACTCGCTCAAGGTCTCGTTTCCCTCAAACTCGGGCAGTTCAAGGATGTCGTTATGCTGCAGATAAAGGCATTCCAGCTTTCTCAACAGGCCCATATCTTCTGGCAAGCAAGTCAGGTCGTTTTGCATCAGATCAATCTTTTGCAAGGCTAAAAACGCAATTGTTCGACTTGGATTAGCAAATATTTGAGGTGGAGCAGCACTTACAGCGCATGTTAACAAGATCGGGCGGCAGCTCCTTGATGTGATTATAGGGCAACAAGAGCGCAGTTAGACGCACCAGGAAACCAATGCCGCCGGGCAGGGATTGAATATTGTTATGCCCACCG